TTTTGCATGTGATACATAGGCATAGCTGCAATCACACTCTTGGTAAGAGTGATTCTACCAGCCAAAGACAAACATTTGGTCTTCCACCCTTGGAGCCGATTCTGCACTCTTTCATTCGAGAGAATTTCTCCAAACAGGCTGTAATACAATCCATCTGGCTAAGGGAGGCTTCAGCAAATAGGATGATATCATCAGCAAACATTAGATGTGATATTTGAGGCCCTGTCCTACCAGCTCTAATTGGGAGCCATGCCTTCCTTATCAACTTCATCCATGATAAGATGGGTCAGCTTCTCCATGCATAGGACAAATAAATAAGGAGACAATGGATCCCCTTGCCTGAGTCCCCTTTGAGGAGAAAATCCCTGAGTCCTACTTCCATTCCATAACACCTCAATAAAAGAACTTGTGACACAACCCATAATAGCAGCTATCAGTTCACCTGGAAGCTCCATCTCTTCAAGAACAGCCTTGACAAAACTCCACCTGAGTTTATCATATGCCTTCTCTAGATCTATCTTGATAGAAAAATAACTCTTCTTTCCATTCATCATATGCATAGAGTGAATAAGTTCCTGGACAATAATAATATTGTCCTGAATATTCCTCTTGGGGATGAAGCTTACCGATAAGGATAAACAAGCTCACCTATGAATGGTTTGATCTTGTTAACCAGAATTTTACTCAATCCATTGTACACAGTATTACATAGTGCAATAGGCCGAAACTGCTTCATGAAACAAGGCCTCTCCACTTTGGGAATTAGAGCAAAGAGAGTCTGATTGATCTCTTTAATCTCCTCAGGCTTGCTAAGATACAACTGCATGCTATTGAAGACTTGGTCTTTAATCAGCTCCCAATTCTTATGATAGAACAATGCTGGATATCCATCTGGTCCAGGAGCTTTCAATGGGGCCATTTGAAAGAACGCATTCTTGACATCCTCAAGAGAAATATCCAAAGACAAAAGGTTTCTATGCTCCTCCCTGATAGCTGGCCAAGAGCAACTAGTCTGACTCCACCCTGATTCAACCAAGTCATCTGTGAAAAGGTTAATGAAGAAGTTCCTGGCCAGATCAATCAATTCCTCCTCACCAGAAATCCATCCACCACCATGATTTTGAAGTTTGATAATTTTGTTCCTCTTCCTCCTAATCAAAGTGCAAGTATGATAATACTTAGTATTTCTATCACCCTCTTTAATCCAATCCCCTCTAGATTTCAGAAACCAAATCTGCTCCTCTTGCTCTAAAATATCAGCAAGTTCCTTATTAAGATTAGCTTCCAATTCTTCCAAATGATAGTTATTCCTCAAGCTCATCTGTCTTTGGATGCCATCCAGCCTAGCTATCACCCTATTTTTCCTATAGTGAGTAAAGCCAAAGACCTTCTTATTCCAGCTTCTGACTGCTGGAGTGAAAGATGTCAAACTGTCCAAGAGCTTAGAGCTGGTATCCCAATTGGTTCTGATAAAGGAGTTAAATCGAGAATCATTCTTCCAAATAGCCATGAACCTGAATGGCCTCTCCCTCCAACACTGGTCCTCTTTATGAATTCTCACCAAGACAGGACAATGATCTGAGAAAATTCTAGGTAGATTCAAGACAGAAGCTTCCTCAAAACAGGCTCTCCAAGCATCATTTGCAACAGCTCTATCAAGTCTTTTGAACACTCTATCCAAATGAGGGAATTTGGGCCCCTTCCAAGTGAATCAGTTTCCTCCCCCTCCCAAATCTCTAACCCCGTATGCATTTAAAACATTATTAAACATAATGCATATATTAACATCAACAGGCTTACCTCCTTTCTTCTCAGAAGTTGAGGAAATCTCATTAAAGTCTCCTGACAGCATCCAAGGACTATCCATGGTTCTCCCAATAAGCTTCAAGTCTTCCCAAAACATTCTTCTTCTTTCTTCTTTAGGGCTAGCATAAACAGCAGTCCAGAAGAATCCCTCCTTACCAGGAAATTCCACCCAACAGTGGATGAATTGTTCCTGCTTCTTCAGAAGAGTGACACGCACCTCATTCGGGTCCCATACTATCCACACACCTCCTGCAAACCCATTGGCCTCAGAAATTATATAACTAGGATACTCCAAACTTCGAATAATTTTCAAGGCTATGTCACCACTAACTCTAGGCTCCAATATTGCAGCCACTCCAACTTTGTACTTCTTCCTGAACCTTCTAAAGGTGCTTTTAAATTGTTTCTTTCCAGCACCTCTACAATTCCAGGTCATCAAATTCATCATGAATTTTGAGTTAGATGCAAGATTTCAAAGTTCTTGCCACTTATCTCAAGGTTCTCAACAGATGCCTCCTGAATAAAAACATCCCCCTCACCACTAGTCTCAGCTATGTCAACCATACAGCCAAACTGAGTAGACTCTGCATTCTGATCCATCTCCATACTAGTGAGAGATTCTGCATTTTTAAAATTCTCCTTCATCACCAAGTCAGGTGGTACAGGATCCTTTAACTCACACTCCAGTAGCAAACTACCAACTTGGTGCATGCTCTCTACATGATCCAGAGAAGTCTCAGAAGCTGAAGCTTCAGCAGCCATTACCAAATCCCCCCATAATTTACTTGAACTTAGCTCCAGTTTCTCATTACCTGGTGTCAGGGACACTGATCTAGTCTCAATTTTCGAAGAAGGAACAGATGCCTGCTGGACCCCTTTCCCTTTAGCTGAAACTGCCTTATTCAAGTTTCTTTTGCCTATTAGTGCTCCTTGCTTCACACCAGAGTTCTTCTTGGGGGTGTTATGGGCCTTTGCATTGAATTTCATCACCCCCTCAACATTCCGAACAGAATTGCCCAATGATACATTCTCCTTATTCACCAAAGAAGTGGTAATATTAACCCCAGAGTCTTTATCAATCACTTACTTCTGAATGATACTCCCACTGCTTTCACCAGAATTAATCCCCATGCCTTTCTTAGAATTGGAAATGTCCTCCCCAAATGATCTGTTGTTCCTAGGATCACTTTTCAGAGCTCCTTGACTTCCTTTCTTTCTTCTTTGCACCACCATCCACTCACCTACACCCTGAGCTTCAGCCTTTTCCACTAATTGGACGGGGTTCTCACAAGGTTTTTCCATAGGAGTTTGCTTAGCAACTTCTGGGCAGGAATCAAGATTATGCCCATATCTGCCACACTTCAAACATATAAGGTACAATCCTTCATATTCAATCCTTTTCCTACAGCCATCCAGTACATACATCCCTTTCAGAGGTTTGTCCAAGTCAATCTCGATGCATACTCTAGCAAACCTGGCCCTATCTCCAGTAGAAGTTGTTCTATCAACTCTTAAGACTTTACCAATCACAGATCCTAAGTGATTCAAAAACGGAAACTCACAGTATTCCTGTGGAATACCTGGCAAACGCACCCATGCTGCTACCTTATGAATGTTAGCCTTCTCTGGATCAAAGCAAGGCTCCCATCTCCTGGTAGCCAGATAATGTCCTAATATCACCCAAGGACCTCCCGAAATAGCCAAATTCAGATCCTCCAGGCAGCTGAAACGAACAGAGAAAAAATCATTCCCTAAGTCAGCTACTGTAATACTTCCCGCTTTGGCCCAGAGCACTTCCAACCTGCGCTTCATAAACCCAACACCAATCCTCTTACCCAGCAGCTTGACAATCAAGGCGTTCTTCCATCGCTGACGCATCTGAGCACGAGCTTCTCCATTACTCTTAATCTCCACCAGTCCATCCTCTCTGACTACTATCTGAAAGCCCCATTCCGAAATAGTCCCCTGATTTGGATCAAGCGGATCCAGATCAGGATCTTCCTCCTCCATCAGCCATGGTGATGCTTCGCCCGAAACACCATTCTCCATCCCTGTGACCTCCGCAAACGACCTCTGCTTAGCAAGACCCTTCTCACCAGATTGAAACTCAGATACAACTTCACGCATCCTACCTTCAGTCGGAATCTCTTCTCCATTCTTTGTGCGCTTTGTGCTCTTCCTAGTCATACGCAACAGATCAGATTGATTCTCCTTCAAAGTCTCCATCAAACCAGTCATTTCTCAGAAAGTAACCCTAGCAGACAGAAAATTTTCGCACGCGTGTGGCGCGACGCGCCTAACTAACCCATTTTTTACTCTTGTTATCTATGTTTTTTATAGTTGCCTCTAAATCGATTCTTTGAGATATGTGTATTTTTGATATATATAAAAGATGAAGAGTTGAAAAATATTTAAGTTATAACGTTTAATATTCTAGAAAACATTTCGTAGTTGACAAGCCAAATAGAGTTAAAATATTAATATACTGCAAAATATTAAATGGTCATTCCTTTTAATTAAGTAATTAATAAGAATAAATAATCATTTTTTACTAGGATTTGTGGCCTAAGTATTTTGAACTTTAGAAATTAGTATTTACAAAATTGAAATCGGATTTAGAAATTTAATTATAAAAGATGAAAAGTGAAATTTTAATTTAATTATAAAAATATGTTAGCGGGCTAACTCGCCCATTTGATAGGCGGACCCTTTAAACGTGTTGGAATTTTTTCTTTTTATATTATTTTCTTAAGTTAAATTTTTTAAATTATTTTCTTTTATTGTATGAATATGTCATTTCTTATTTTTTTGAATTTAAATTCAAATTTAAATTATTTTTTTATCGTTTATACATATATTTTATAATTTTAAATATTGTTTTCATTTAATATGTAATTTTATATTAACTATAAATTTATTATATATATTTTTCACTGTAAAAGTATTAAATACTGAACTTTTTTCCTACCTATCAAGTTCAAATTCAAATTTTAAAAGTTTGAATTTTAAATATTAAATATTCTCCCACCAAATAAACATAATAATAAATATTATTAATAGACTTAAAAATTTTCCATGCAAAAAGTAGTGAAAAACTTTAAACTCTGTTCATAGATGGCTGATGGATGTTATCCGTCAGATTACTACTATGGGTGGCATGCTTGGATGTCTTAAATTAGTCTATAAAATATTTAATGACAAATAAATTTTTTTTCAATGCAGGAGTTAAATGGCCACTGGTCACTGAATGGTCTTTCATTTTTGTAGTGATATTTTTTTTATAATTTATTTTATACAGAATGTTAAATGTCATTTTTTTATTTAAATTAAACATTTGAATTCTATTATATGGATTATACATATTTTATGCAAAATTAATTTTCTTATCTCTTAATTTATAATTTATATATTTGTTATACACGTATATTTACAAAGTTTTTTTAAAAAAAATACTTAAACGACTTTTTTTAATGCTGTTTTTGAATCATTATTTTTTTAGGTGACTAAAATTTTATAATTCGTTTTTTACATAATGATAGATGTCATTTGTTTATTTAAATAAAAAATTTGTATTATTTTGTATTTTTTTTTAGTATCCAATTATTTTGTATTAATTAAACATATATTTTGAAAAACTAATTTTTATCTTTTATTTTATAATTTTTATATTGGTTCTACACATATATTTAAAACGGTTATGTTAAAAAAATACCTGTACAATTTTTTTTCTTTTTATATAATTTTTTAAGTTAAAATTTTAATTTATTTTCTTTTAAAGTATAATTAAGTCATTCTTTTTTGTAATTAAATTTTAAATTTAAATTGTTTTTTTTTATCAAATTTACATATTTTTTATAACTTTAAATATTTTTCTTTTAATCTATAATTTTATGTTATTTTTAAATTTATTATATATATATATTTTTTCCCACTGCAGAAACATTAAATGCTAAACACAATACTCTCCCACTACATAAACATTCTATTCCGTATATATTTTTTCAGTACAACTCACGATCTTATCAATCTAAAAAGTAAATCACATTTCAAGCGATTATATATTTGGTGCTCATAGATTTTTTCGTTATCGTGTTTTTTAAAATTAGTTCTTTTCAGAAATCACACTTTATAATAAAAAATAATAAAGTAAATATTATTGATGTGTAAATGTGTTATAAAGAAATCACACTGAGGGGGCTGAACCTTTAGCCATCACTGATCCCCCGCACTTCGGATTAGTCTTATAGCCAGCTCAAAGAGTCGAAGCTCGTGGGGATACCGGAGAGAGCCAACTCACCTCAAAGAGGTAATTAGGTTGGGTAACTCCAAAAAAAGAAAATGTATGTTTTTTTTTTTTTTTTTTTTGAATACAGAATATGTATGTCTCTAAGTCACTATAAAGCGCACTTATTATAAATACTTTTTATGGTTTAATAAATCAAAAATTAAAATTTCAAATGACACATAAGGTCATCATTAATAGCATTGAAATTCCAAACTTTTTTTTGGCTATCTTCATTTTTTAATGCATTTAATTACTGGAATGACACAAATTAATAACCTACATTAATGATTTAATACTATCTTCATTTAATTACCGTGCTATATTATGCATTCAAAAAATAATATACAACTTAAAATTATCAGACAAATGGCTATATATGAACAGCTATATATGCTCTGCTACCAAACATAAAATTTAATACTAAGGACTAGGTGAAAGAATAATTAAACGCGGGACCACTTTAGTATATTAGATTTAAAAATAAAAATCTAGCAAAAGCATTGATTTCTTTCAGAAGCATATGTAGCAGTGAATTGTATCTGTACATATGTTTATTAAAGATAAGAATAGGACTTAAATTAGCAATCTTTTTTCTTTTCTCGGAAAATAAATTTGCAATCTTAAGTAGTACGTTTTTTTGAATGTCTGTTAAAAATTATATTATGTTTTACTGATTGAGAAAATTATATTAGGTTTTACTTTTTTTTTATTAATTTCATTGCATTTCTTTGTTATTTTTTTATGGGAAAAATTATAATTACAATCTATTTTTGTTTACAACCTTTTACAACCATATCTTAACCGTTGATTTCCGTCAATCAATGGTTATTATTTTCACAAATCAAACTCATTAATTAATATTTAATTTGCAATGAATGATAACCGTTGATTGACGGAAATCAACGATTAAGATATGATTGTAAAATGTTGTAAACAAAAATAGGTTGTAAGTATAACCTTTCCCTTTTGTATTGACTCTTCTAATTTTGAATGTTCTTTAAAAATTCATATGATTTTTAAAATCTTATAAATCCATATTGTCCTTTCAAATCTTATAAATTCTATTAAAATCCTTTAAAATCCAATCTTATGAAATCAATCCCTATTGTCCTTTCAAATCTTATAAATTCTATTAAAATCATTTAAAATCCAATCTTATG